ACTGATATATATATAATAAGGCTAGCTTTGCCTCTTTCTAGGTCACTACAAACTACGAGTATGAAAGACAATACATGTCAGTGGTGTGTGTACATGTGCAGTGCTCAGACATTGTGTATGTATTAACGGTAGGAGTACGTATGTATGTATGAGAGTTCTGATGCAAGTCTAGTCTTGCTACAAACTGTACTTGGTGTGCAGGCCAAGGTAGTTAGAATGAAAACATTGAATGTTATTGGCCAGGATCATTGTTCTGTTTAAAAGTTATACAGGTCATTGACTGTTTCTTTCCTTAAGATACTATTTAACATTAACATGGTTTGGGCTTATTTTTTCCAATGTAAGGAAACTTCCTGGAAAATAAGGCATCAAAAAATTAGTTGAATAAAGGTGGAAAATTGACAACTAAACATTAATTGTACTTTTTGGAAATATATAAGATATAAAAACTTCAGAATTCTTGTGATTGGGTATTTTTTTTAGTCTTTGTACATCAATATTGTTGTAATGGGATCTTTTTTGTGGGTCTACGTACTTTTTTTTTTTCTTTCGGAAACACCTGATACTGGTCATGTTGTCTGAAGGACAAATTGGAAATTTCCTTAAAATCAAGCTCTGGTATTTGTAAAAAGTTATAAATCAAAAGCCAGATTTTTGTCTTGGGCATTGGATCCAAGGTTTATCCATGTTTTATATGTAATTAATCATAAATACACAATAAAAAGAAACTGAAGGTGAAACTCTATAGCTTTTTCACTGTACATCCTGAATGAGGACTGAATACCACACTTTGATTTGTCTTTAGATAATTTTCTTATGTGAAACAATAGATTCAACCAACTGAAGTAATTCGTTTTGGGATTAATTTTGGGTAGTCAGGTTTTTTTGGCTGTACTGGTACATGAGCCCCCTCCACACCCAGTGGTACAAAGGTAAGTCTGAAGGTTTATAATGCAAAAAAAACAGGATTCTATACCTGTTGTGTAGCTTTGTGCTTACTACAAACAAATTTTCGTGATATGTAGTTGACCAAGTTACAGCTTTAAATGCAGCAGTAATATTGCTGGAAATCATGAGTATTGAATAAACATTCTCTGATAAATGATTAGAAATCAACAAAGCTTAAACTGATAAATCATACAAGATGTACAACAACATTAAAGTTTTGAAAAAAATTAACATTTTACTTGAAAAATATAAGTTGTTATGCGATACTGTGAACTGGAATGTTGTGTTTACTTTCTTTTTTTCAGTATTGCTTTCAAAAATCCCTTAGTTTATTATCTAATTGTCTTTACAACCTCTGTTTTGACACTTTAGTGATTTTATTCATTAAAGTTAAATTATCCAATCAAGTTTACATTGAAAATATAGTTATCAGAACTATTTCTGACTGATTAAACAAAATGTTTTCCTTTTTTAGGAAGGAAAGAACTAAAAACCTCTTACACACTTTGGATTTGCATTATCACCTGTAAATTTTACACCACATTTAGATTTTATTTCCTCACTCATATGCCTACTCCAGTGTCATAGTTTAACCAGTCTTATTGCAACCATACCGTGCACACTTTTTGGAAACTCTTTTTAGACACTTCAATATATTATGAATGTTTTTCCATTTTTGGTTTTTTAACTATTCTCTTTAAATAATAAATCTTAATATGATAATTTATACTAAAAAATTGACATTGCATTCTATAAGCATATAAGCCATTAAAATTAGAAGGTAGTTTGAACAGTCCGAGTTTTTGTTTCATACTGAGCTAGATATACCGAAACCCTATGACTTTGATAAGCTAATAATGGTCCCAATTGTATTATTCTTTGTGGACATGAACCTGTACAACCTTCTAGCTGTGCCAGAAACCAATAGATAATAAATATTTCACAAATCATTAATAAAGAAGAAATTTATGTAAGCTTGATTTATGTAAAAAGTATGCGTTGTACTCTGAAATCTTTGTGGAAGTTCCAAACTTAAAAAAGGAACAAACACGAATTGTTTTGCATTCTCGTACCTACAAGATGCTGTGGCTCAATTATTACTTGCACAGAGTCTGGTAACATGAGAATGTGATGTGTGTGGGTATCATAATGCTTGTTTTTAAAAATGGCTCCAACAGTGAGAAGACACAAATGTTGTTTATGATGAGAGGTTCTAGATAAGTACAAAAGATTATATAGTAAGATTATAATATCAATATTGACTTTTGTATCACTTTCATGGACAATAAAACCAATACAACAGGCAAAAAGCCATATCAGAAGCTGATATTGATCAGGAATTGTCTTTAGGGAGGGAGGCACAGGGGAGGCTGCCCCTCAAACTTGGAACAGGGGCACCCAAATAGCAGTTTCTGTGAAACATTTCTAGTCAAGCCAGATTAACACATATGCAAATTACATCATAAAATAAGGCCCTCAGCTGAATTGGAGGGGCCCGTGCAAGGTGAGTCTGCTTTGCTCTCCGAGCACCAAGCCTTTTGTCATTTCCTGATTTTGATACATGTCAGTACAGCCCTAAATGAAATGTCATCTTTAAAATAAAAAGAAACTACTTGTATCCCATTTATGGGTATGTGGATATTCTTGTCTTAAATTTTGGTTTTAAGACAAATGTAACATGAATTACATTTGATTTTTTTTACTGTTTTTATAACTGTTAAATTCTGTTTTGAACAGGTTCCCATATGTAATGAATGTATGGTAGCAGACCACAAACAGCCACAGCATCGGTATGAAAGAGCTGCTGATGCTGAGGTTAAACATCGAGAAAATATTGAGAATCTAATAAAAGAAAGTGAAGAGAAAGTTCGATTTTGTGAAATGGCATCATTAACCCTACAGAATTCCCTTACAGACTTGCAGTTACAGCGGGACAATGCTAAAAATAGTATTCAGGTTGGTGTATATGTCAGGAAAAAAAATATATTAGTCTTTCATAAATTAAATTATAATGTTAATTTAATTTATCTTTTTATAGAAGTATGTGGGTTTTTGGTATTTTCATCCAAAGTAACAGCTTGTATGCATGACGCATAGGCTAAGCAGTCGGGTCGGAGACCCTAAAGAACAGGCATAGCTAATCCTAATCTAGAACTGTTAACCAGAGGTAATGCAACCAGTCGTTAGCTCCCACTGCTTACATAGCTGCTTTCAATTGAATAGTGGAAATTTTCAAAAATACTTTCATCTATGAAACTATTTTTCAAACAAAACCCAGCAGAGTTCATGAACCATTGTATTTTTTTTCCATACATCAAAAACCTTTCTAGTTTCATGTACATATACTTTACTTTTTTGATACACAGGTCTGTCAGTTGTTAATAAATATAACAGCATACAAAAAGCAACAAGTATAATAAAAAAAAATGTTAATTTTATAAAGACAAGTAGGGATCGGTATATACGTAACCTAGCTAGCTATAGTTATATAGAAAGTTTAATGATACAGAAGGTATTGAAACAAGTCAAAATTACAAAAACTAAGTTACTTTCACAAATCACTGTAATTATGTTAGTCTGAGCCAAAGTGTGGATAAAAGTTTTTAAATTTTAATTAATTCAGTGTTTCTTGTTTCAATATTTTTTGTAACATTAAAACTTTCTATATCACTATAGCTAGCTAGGTTACGTATATATCGATCCCAACTTGTCTTTACAAAATTAACATATTTATTATTATACTTGTTTGTTTTCTTTTTATTAGCTATATTGTTGTGTGCCAGCAATATCAAGTGTGGGGTGTGCATATACCCAATTCAATTTTACTCATCAGGATCTCTCTACCAACTTGCTCTCAAATCTAATATGCCCAAAGTAGCTCATTATCCATTTTATATATATATATATATATATATATATATATATATATAAACACACACCTAGTAGAGTGATAAGGTTACTATCTACTTTTCGTCTGCGTAG